GAGTGGGGCGCATGCGCGGGCGGGACGAGCACTTGCTCCCCCACCCAGGCCAGAAGAACCTGAAGCGCATGCGCCAACTAGAAACGCCCGCGCATTGGGCGTGCTGCCTTCCCCGACCCTTCTACATACTATATCCTGGGGGCGCATGCGCAAGAAAAATCTTCCCCTCGCGTTGCTAGCTTTTACAGCGCATGCGGGGAACGGAGGGAGGGGCAGTACATGGAGTTCCTGTTCCTCCCCCTGCTGAGCTTGTGATGGTCACACATCTGATCAGGGCTGGCGGGTGCGCATGCGCGGTGTGATAGATGGCGGTCGGGGCGTGGTGACGTCTTTCTAGGTTCTCCTCCATCCGGGTCCCTCAGGTTGTTTGTTTATTGCGCTGAGGGGGGCGGCGGCGGGTCTCCGCTGAGGGAGAAAAGAGCGCGCGCTGCCAGCCGCTAAGCCAACGGCTGCACCTTCTTCCCGCCCACGCGCTGAGGTAAGTGGGGACCGCTGGGGGTCCGCAGAGAGCCCCATAGACACCCCTCCCCCGGGGCTGGGAGCCAGGGGGGTGATAGGGAGTCCTGGGGGAGCCCATAGGCTGCTTGCTCGCCATTGGCTACTCCAAGGTCTGTGCTGTTGGTCATTGACTGCTTGGGGGAGGCAAGCCACTGGCTGCCCCCCGCCTGTCATTAGCCATTGGCTCCCTGGGGGTTATATGTCACGGGCCTTCTCATCCTATTGGCTGCCAGAGGGGTGCTGGCGCTGGCCATTGGTCATCCCCATGCAGCTAGTGGTTGGCAGGAGGGGGGGGGGGGAAGGAACCATATTATGTCACTTGTTGCTGATAATCTAAAATAATTACTGATAATCTTCCCATCCAGTATCTAAGAATGTGTGGCAAGCTATGCCTATCTAGGTGTATCAGATCCCTGTCTTCTATCAGTTCAGGGACAGCACTAATGTTTGTATTGGTAGATGATCTTCTGTCACTGGATAAGGATCAGGGATCCATGCTGAATTTTGTCAGCTGTCTCTGATACTGTTGATAGTTAGGTTTTGTTAACCTGACTGCAAACCCTTGAGGGAGTAGACTGGTCTGCCTGATAGTGGTTTCATTCTTATCCCTCAGAAAGACCCTAGAGCGCAATTTTGGGCAATTGCTCTTTTGCCCTGAAGAGTTGCATTTTGTCTCCTGCCTTGTTCAACTGTGTGTAGGGCCATTGCCATGGTTAGTTAGAAGACAGTTTTTGACATGCTGATGATTTCTAGCTCTTTTGACAATCTTCATAATCTTTATAGCAACTCCATGTCACATTGCATTTGTTTCATGGCCATATGAGAAGATGCTCTTTGTGGGGGACAAAATAAAAATTGCTTCATCTTCTAGTTTTTCAGAGAGCTGAAAAATGTCTGGATTTCTTGAGACCATGAGATGCTCAGAGTGTGTTGACTGGGGAGAAAAGCGAAATACAATTGCATCAGTTGCTGCTGGTGTGCTGGTGTGTATAACTAACCATTTTTATATTTCATATGTGCTTTTGGCCTGTATGCAACAAGTCAGTACTGCACTGAAAATCACTGCTTAGGACACAAAAAGAACAACCTGTTAGGGCACATTCTGAATGTATTACACACTGGCAGCTCATATTAGATATTGTGTGGTTGTCTTCAAAGTAAGTTATCCTGAAGAGGATTAGTTTACTTAAGGAAATGGTCTGCAGGACCAAATAATGTTACAGTCCTGTGAAGATCAATGCTAAAATTCAGTTTGGTCTCTTCTACATATGTAAGACCATTTTGTAACACCATCCGACAGTATAAAACACAATTTTTCGGTAGTTCTTGGTACTGTAGAAAGCCCTACGAGCTAATCAGTTAGCACATGTCTTATCACAATATGCCTGGTCTTTAGTCACTGCTGTGTCTTACTTCATCCTTTATCTACCCCATGAAAGGAACTTCAGATGCACCACAAAGCTAGTTTACAGCAGGGCTTCGTTTAAGTGAATTGCAATGACATACTTTAGACTAGCTGATATATCAGACCACCCCACATTTTAAAGAGGCTATTTTAAAATGATCTTTCTCTAGAAATTGTAAGTATGTGCTACTTCAGTTTTTTCAGTTTCTTCCAATTTAGTGCTGCATGTATAATAAGACGACCACCACTGACTTTAATGAAAACTAAATTGGCCCCATATAGTTTTCATATAGGGTACTAATGTAATTTTTGCTAGACAACGTTGTAATGATGTTGCACGTAATCATGTCTGTATTTTAAGTTGTATTTTAAATAGTTTTTTACAGGCTGGTGGATTATCATAGATGCAGCTGTTAAATATCCTCAGATGGAAGACTTCAACCATTCATACCATGCTTGTGGAGTTATAGCAACTATTGCATTCCTAATGTAGGTGTAATTTCTTTACCAGTACAACCAACATACTTTATAGAACTTGCATCATGCAGTTAATTTTTTTTTTTTTTAAGTGCAGACTTTTATTCTAAAGTGCCACAGTCCTATTTTATAGTCATAGGCCTATGTTCAGCAGTTAAATGAACATTATTTCTGCTGTGTTGAAGGGTGAGAGGTTGTTATGGATTACAGTGTGGAGTATTTTTTAGCCATTTCAAGTGATTTAGGCCACAAATCAACATTGAGAACCACCCAGATATAAATTTACACATAGGAAGATCCCCATATTCACATGGGACCCTGTTGACCTCTTTTTAAATGGTATGGCTTTTTTTAATTGTGTAGATTTAATTATTCTTCATATTTTGAAAAATGCTTTCATTCTTTTTTCAACTTTGAACTGCTAAATTAACTATCCCTCCTTTTCAGAGCAACAGTTGGAGAAAATATTTATAGAGTAATATGATGCCACCATTTTCGTACATGGAAAATAGAAGAAATTACTCAAGTGTGAATTTTCTGTATAGTTTCACCTGTATTTGTCAATTGTATTCTGTTTTATTCATGCAGGATCAATGCAGTATCCAATGGACAAGTCCGTGGTGACAGTTACAGTGAAGGCTGTCTTGGGCAAACAGGTAAAAATGTTATAAATAGCATTATTCATAGAGCTATAGCTGTATAGTCTGTGCTATAATACAATGCATTGATATAGTTTAATTTATAATGCAAATTTAAAAGTGTAACATTTGTATGTTTCTTGTGCTACTGGTAAGCATTTTTACCAGGTGTAAACTTCAGTGAACTTATTTTTTGAGATGTGAGAACAACTAGCCTTTTTTACATGATCCTGTTAAATCTGTACTCTTGGTTTCCACAACTGGTTTTGCCTGTCACTCACATAACTGTATCTTTACCACACAATTTGCAAGAATGGTAATAGTGTTTGGTTTCATTCTTCTGCCAGCTGACACAATCCAATAATCATTTATAACCAAACAGTAATTATTTTGGCTCTTGTGTACAAGTTAATAATTGGCTATTATATTTTCCAAATGATCACTGTGTAACTCTTGACTCCTGCCGCCGAGGACTTTAGTGCAAGTTTACATGGCATCCAAATTAAAATACACTCGATGCCATAAACAGCTATTCTAACATTCTGTATATGCACTGTGAGTGAATTTCACCCGTTGTAGAGGATAAGCACAAGGCCCTGGCACCACTGACCAAATATTTCCTGTGGAGGAGAGCACAGCACTCATATGAGTACATGCAGCCCTGGAGATCCAATAGTGGCCTCAGTGTGATTCCACTGCTATTCTGCAGTCTGCAGGGAGGATTTCATTACATCGCCAACCCTGGGTAACTAGGACCTCTCTGTCACAAAGCCTGTTAGGTCAGGTTGTGCAGTGGTGGGAGTGTCTTGCCATTAGAGTTTAGTTTATCTATAAAAATCTCATCTCTAATGTTAATAGCTCTTTGAAATGTCACTGGTAGTAATATATGCTGTCTCATGCATGAGAGCAGATAGAATTGTTGCGTGCAACCTCTCTTTTAATATGAATTTAAGATGTATATTTGTATGTTGTACACAATGCTAGTCTGTCTTCAAAGATGTGATATACTGTATAAAGTGTTTTGAAACAAGAGCAGGTTGAAAGTCACATAATATACATGTGTATTTATAAGGTGCTCGCATCTGGCTGTTCATTGGTTTTATGATGGCTTTTGGATCTCTGATTGCTTCCATGTGGATCCTCTTTGGAGGCTATGTTGTTAAAGGTAAGATACAATACAAATCTTAATATCATCCTGCTTTGATGGTTTACTGTAATAATATTTTAAATGGATAATGAATGAATGAGTGACTTCTTTCTGGATCAGCTCCAAGAAGGTCTATTTGGTGCCCTAAGCTGACTAACTGGGACAGGCCCATCCCTTACTACCTGTACTTTATCCTCTTTCTGGCTTCTCTTTTCCTGTCCTCCTCCTTATCATCCGTGTTTCTTTCAGTATTTATCCTATTCTATTTTTCTCTTTTCTGAATTCCTTTTTCCTTTTGCAACTCTATTTCTTTTCTTTTTTCTCTCATTTTTTCCCAATGTTTATTTTTTAGTTTATTACTTTTTCTAAGAGTCTGTTCCTGTTTTTTTTTTTTTTCTTTTTTCAGTGTATGTTACTATTAAAATGTCTTCTGTGTCATTAAGCCTTCAGTTGGCATCATTAAGAACTGAGGGTGTGTCTACAAAGGAAGTTATACTGGTGTAGTCATGCTGGTATAACTCCCTGTGAGGACACTCTTATTCCAGTGTAAGAGTAGCTTTTTCCAGCGTAGCTTAAACCACTTCCAAAGTGACATAAATGAAACTAGAAAAAGGCACTCTTATGCCAGAATAGGTGTGTCTGCAAAGGGAGTTATACCAGTATAACTATGATCATTTTAAATTTACACTTTACTTGATATAACTTCTCATGTAGAGAAGCCTGGAGAAACCTGTGGGAATTGGAAAATGATACTGTTTGGGTCTTATATGGAGAAAAGATCATTTTATAAAATATAAACAAATAAAACCATGAGCCAGTTCCAGGCAGGAATAGCAGAGGTGAAGGTAATTCCAAACTTCAGCATCACAGTAGTTAGAGTAACAACAGGTGAGTGATATTCTGTTAAGTGAACCTTTATATTCTCTTCTTCTATGGTACTGGTCACCCATCTGCTCCATGAATCATTTAGGCTGGGATTTCTGAAGGAGCCTAGGGGAGTTAGCTAGCCAACTTCCTTAAGCACATTTGAAAACTCAGCCTTAAGCTATAAGACCATTCCTAACTCTTTTGGTTCTGTTGTGTATTTCTGTATATTGTACTGATTTATTCCTCTAAGGTATTTGAGGCAGGGACAATGTTATTTGTTCAGCACAGTGCCATTTTTGTATGCCACTGTATACATTTAAGGTGCTGTATAATCAGTTGACGATAGTCCCATGGGGTCACTGTATTTGTGATACATGTTTTGGTCTAGAAAGCGAGGTCCATCTGAGCTGGTAAACGAAATGTTTTTTCTGAACAGAAGGCTATTGTATATCTTGTGTGAAGTTGCCAGTGGGTTGGACCTTATGCTTTCTCTTCTGTTGCACGCAACTGACAGATGGTGGGTGGAGGTTCATCATGTTAG